GAGGTGGAGAGGTCCCGTACCCACATCAGTTTGTACCTTGGAAACACTCCGCGTTCAGCCTCGGGCTTTGCAGTCCATCTCCACCAGCTTCCATTGCTGCGTCCGGACGCTCGAGCGTAGCAACCACGAGTTTATAGATCTAGCTCTCTAGGCGACAGCAAGGTTACAACAAGCACACACTGAAGGTCTGCCAAGTTCACGACGATCAATCTTCCGCAAAGGCGAGCACTCAAGCGAGAGCTCCAGAGTCCAAGAAGTGTCATTCAGTCAACAAAAGCCCCGGTCCTCCTCGCGCTCGCCGCCCTCCCTAGCTCTCTCTTCCAATAACAATCCGTGCAATATGGCACGACTATGCTCATACGCTGAATCTACGTTTGTTTGTTGCGCATCGCGTAAACCTTTTGCCAAACGCAACCAAACTGAAGCTCTGAGTCGAAGATGATGTTGAATAGGAATGCAATACTGGTGATCGTGGGAGCCGCTGTCCTGGGAGAGTGTGCTGTCTCTGATGTCCCTGTCGGAAGCCGTAGTTTGGACTGGGTGGAGAGGCCGTGTGACGGCAGTAACCATACGCGAGGGACGCGTCTGATGTGCCTGTTAGTTTCTGTTCACTTTTGGGTGGGGCAGGCTACTACGTGACTCACAAACGGGGCCTTTTCTTTACGTAGTGTTGTAGTAGCATGGGTAAAAGCACATATCATTAATCTCGCCGGTAATAAAAGCGGGTCTGTGCGTGGTATTGTAAGTTGCGTGTTGTTGCGTTGTAGTAAATCTGCGACTTTATCTGGCTCGTATTGTTTATGACAGTTATAAGGTAACCAATACTATCCACCTTTTTCTGCCATTTGGCTGTTCTTGAATCTCATCCCTCCTTCTCTCTCTCTTATACCACTATTAACCGAAATACCACGACAATACCTCGTCTAAAACCACCTCCGCGCGGAGTGCTATAATGACAAAGATTTTCGCATTCAATCCCCTCCTAGGGTTGACGTTGACCTCACTCTTAAACAACGTGGCAAGGGCCCACTCAACCAGCACGCACCATCCCACCCATCAAGAGCTCGCTGCACTGCCGGTAACCCGCGTATATCACGCTTTGACTGGTTGTGCTGTCTACTACACACTCCACGTGGTACCGAACAAACACGAATTGCATGGGGTGCTTGCGCCGGGAGTTGGACTCACTAGCTCCTTGCAGACAAAGGTGAAAGAAGAACCGAAGGGAGAGCTGTCCGAAGAAAGCTAAAAAACCAAATGACGCTGACACTACCCTCCAAACCACGAACATGGGGATATGCTCGCTCTATTATTATTCGGGATGGATGGAGTCTATTCCGACAACTCGCGGCTGTGCTACTCCTCATGTCTACTCGCAAAGTCTGTCGCAGCTTCCTGCAGCCCATGATCTGACGCTTTTAAATCGCAAAGGTGGTCTAAAGTTATCTTATATCTACCGACTCACTCTGGCGGCGGAGGAGCAAGAGCTGATGGCAGATCAAAAGGAAAGGAGTGCTGGGTAGAATGGCAGTGGAGAGAGGCTTGTCGGGGCCCCCTAGGCCACTCGGACGGATGCCGTCTCCACCGCTGTGAATGACCTCATCATAGAAGGACAACCTCATCACTATGGCAGCGCGGCGTACGCTTTTATTCAGCCAGTCGAATTGCGGCGAATCTATCTGGTCGCGATGGGAGACGTCGGATCGAGATCGTCCCAATGACGAGACCCAGCTGGACCCTCTTCTCCGAACCGGGTCTCCTCTACCCCGCATTATGTGAGGTCCACATTCGCTAGGTTTCCGGGCCCTCGCGGGGGCTCCTCCGCGGAAAACGGGAAGGAAGCAGTATGGGAAGCAGACACCCCTTGGATTTCATGACTGCAGCTACCTGGAACCGAGGACCCCTCTCTGTCAGACAGGGGGGCTGTCCCTCTCCCGAATAAGTAAAGCGCAGGTGCAAACCAACCTCCCTCAAAAAAACACCCCTAAAACAAACCTCAACCATACGATTATAAATGATTTTATATTTTCACTGTACCATTCCGTCTCGATTCAGTCTCTTCGTCTGCGATCTTCACTTTCACTTTACATGATTCCACCCCAGGAATTGCAGAGCATACTGGAGCCAAGAACCGGAACACGTGTGAACGAAGCAATGGGACTGATTGTATGTTCACCGCGAACCTCTCGACACGAACCTCAACAATAGCGAACCAAGTGAGCCCTCCACATTCATTGTAATCATAAAACTCTTATAATTATACATCTCCTCATTCTTTCCCCTCCCCCTTACCCTCTACCTCACTCTTACCTCTTTCCTTCCCCCTCTACCTCTAACCTCCCATCCTTACCCTCCTCTCTCTTTCTCCCTCTCCTCTCCCTATCTCTCCCTGCAGCAAGTACAGTAGCTCCAGATTTGAGCAGAGAGTTAGACTGGACTTACTACCTAGCAGGCAGCACTGGTGCCTCAGTCATCTGGGCCTTTGTGACACTGTTTGCCATGCTACTGGTAGTGGAGTCTGTCAGAGATAAGCAGAAAGCAGTTCTCGAAGAAATCAAGAACAAGAAGTTAGTATACACAACCAAGTTTTTTTTTCCTTTTTGGATGGTGGTACAATATTCGTTTTTTGCACCACATCGCAGTCTGCAAAGTAACTTCAAACCAGTGGTGGTCAGTTTGGCCACCACCAAAGCCAACACTGGCCCCAATAACCACCACAAGGTCGATTTTCCCTTGGTAATTGAGGCTAGACTGTGTTTAGCCACCACTCTAACTGATTCTTAGCAAACCCTCCAGTACTTATTGCAGTGTGTGGCTGTAGTGTGTCCACTGTAACCTTTTGGGGACACACACACACAATATTCTATAGTATAAGACCAATGACCAGTTTGTGTGTTTGTGTGTTTGTGTCCCACTGTCGCAGACCAGAGGAGTTCCGACTAACAGAGATGGGGTGGAGGTGGAGGAGGAGGAGGAGGGGGAGGAGGAGGAGGAGGAGGAGGAGGAGGAGGAGGATGGGGAGAGGGGGCCAGGGGTGAGGGGGGAGTCGAAGATGCAGGAGTCAGACGAACGCGACTGTCAGGTGTTGATGAACCAGACAAGACAAAGGTGAGAGAGGGAGGAGAGAGAGAGGTCAGAGGTGAGCTCCATGGAATGGTCCCCTTGCTACAGGAAAAGATGGAGGAGGTAAAACAGAAACTGGTAGAAGCTGGGGTGCCACGTGAACACTTACCTGGTAAAGACGAACATGACCATTATGAGGTGGGCGGAGAAACAAGGCTAATGTTCCACCTCTAAACTCTGACCTTTCACCTCAGTTGGAGACAGACTACATCGGGGCGTATCGAGTGAGGGAGTGGCACGGAAAGCCGCTGCGTCATTTGGGGTGGGGAGGGTCGTTTGCCTTCTTCCTCTGCCTCCTGGCCCTCATCCTCAGCTTCGAATGCTGTATGTATTAAGACTGTGTTGGTTGTCTATATATGGTTGTGTTGTGTGGTTTGCATGCATGTAGACTAGACCTCTGATACATACAGACACCCAAGCTACAACAATGCTTTTGTTTCGCAGCATGTATGTACTAGTGTAGTTGTGATTTAACCACAAACTTGCAGATGATATACTCTTAACGGCAAGGTTTTCCCTGCTATAGTGGTTCAAAATACACGTCCCAGTACCACGGGCATTTTGTGGCAATGTAGAATTGCAATGTGGCAAACGCAATTGCAAAAACCAAGTAGTGTCATGTTAAAGGCAAAGCAATGTTTAGAGCGGCACATCAGGTCTTATAAACATGAAAATGTAAGCGGTAACAGTGTTCTCGATATTGTGTATAAATCCCTTCATAAGCAGTGTAATAATGTCACATTCTCTCTCTCTCTCTCTCCTTCCCTCCCTCCCTCCCTCCCTCCCTCTCTCTCTCTCTCCCTCCCTCTGGCCCTCCCTCTGGTTGTAGTACTGTGGGCGGTGGCTCTCGGCTACTACCACGCCAAGAGACAGGAGAAAGACATCTCTGCCTTTATTCTGGTGGGCTTCCTGGCCGGCTTTCTCCTCCCTCTCCTCCTCTTTGTCGCCTCCGTTCTCCTCGCAATCGTCCTCGACTACGTCACCATCGGCCGAGTCGACGCTCGCAAGGGAATCAAACGTTTCCTCCCGTCTGTGGTATTTGAGGAAGGCAAAGACTTTGACTACTGGGTGATTGAAGAGCGCTTCTACTTCAAACTTGAAAAGAGGGACCAGCACCTGGAGAGCAAGTACGGGTTGTGGTACTCGTGTGACAAGACCCTCTCCACGTGGCTGCTGACTGGCATCGTGGCCCTCTCCTTTCTCCTCTGCCTCTCGTACTTTGTCGATATCACAGTGATAGAGGAGACCACTCTCTCCTCCTGTCCAAATGACACTGAACTCTACGACTGCTTCAACAGATCCACTTTCAACTTTGTCGACTGTGCCGATGGGGAGATGAGGCGGAATGTAGAGTTGATTCATTGTTTCAGGTTTCTGAGGTTTGCTGTCGACACTCATCTCATAACCAGCATCGCCCTGACCTACGCCTTCTACCTCGTCATCGTCACCATGTTTGGTCACGTGTTTACGGCCATGAAGACACTGCTTCACCTTCATCGGACTCGGCTGTGGGGCGTGGCTTTCCTAGTGGTGGGCGGAGTTGCTCTCGTACTTACCATTGTGTTCCTGGCCGTACTGGAGGATACCTTCCCCTTCCCCTTCCCCTTCCATATCCAGGTTACCTTCATCACTGTCATGCAGGTTAGGTGACACTAATGCTGGTATTATTATAATGGTGCAACTCCTATAATTTCCCTTTAATCCTTGGACGCCATGGGGATCTGCTTAAACAAGTGGAAATATCATTTCTTCAAAATGAAGGGGGGATGTAGGGATGGTGTAAATTATGAAAAAGGATGCCAACAAGAAGATGCTTC